TCATGTACTCTCGATGCAGTTCGCAAAGATGTTAAAGAAAATCACTCGGGGCATCAAACATTTAATAGACTGCAGTAGGTACTTTTTTACGATCACCTTGTCCAGTACCCACTAGGCACATACCAGTGATACCTATTTAATGACACTGCATCAACAAACTTGCCAAGGAATGTACTTGTACACCAGTAGGTAGCCTTTAATTGCTATGAGATATGTGACTGGCTCACACGTCCTGTTATTCAAAGCCCTTAGGTCCTCTTTCAGCTGCAAAAAGGTCGTTTCATTTCTAGTCCTTCGAATTTACGACACCATTTACGACACCTCATAATGGGCAAAATCCTACAGAGACGGGAAGATTGGCTGGAAATGTAACACGGCCTGAATAATCCGTCATAAACGGAATGTCAGCTTACTATGCGACCAGGCCTAGGCATTGGCTATTCCTCACTTCAGTAGGGCAGAACGGACATGCCTTCATTCCTAATGGTATTAATTAAATATTATTTAGTAATTAGTATGTTTAGTAAGTAACTTCCAGATTCCGAAACACAAATTGTTCACGTGTGAATAGCTGCAGGCATTGTTTAAAAAGGTCCCCACGCCCATATTTCGCGCGACGACTTCATGTGATCGGCATGCTAATGCAATGGGAAACGATGGCTACGAATAATTTCCATGACGAGCGAGGTGTTGCATGTCCTGAGAACATTTGGTCACTGTAGTGGTTCAGGGTAACTGGAATCTCGGTAGTTCATTCACGCGCGAATTACATAACTAAAACTTAAGGTCGCGAGAAGTGAAAAGCAGTTTATTTCTATATTCATTTGTTATAAGATGCAGCCCTTTGCAGCGTGTCGCTGTTGTAATTAGCCAAACGCTTCAGCGTATCTAACTTGTTAACAGATACTTGTTTGGGTTGGGGTCCGATCCGATCACCTCAGCGTCTCCTCTCTCTCTCTCTCTCTCTTTCTCTTTCTCTCTCTCTCTCTCTCTCTCTCTCTCTCTCTCTCTCTCTCTCTCTCTCTCTCTCTCTCTCTCTCTCTCTCTCTCTCTCTCTCTCTCTCTCTCCTATAAACTATCACGATGACACATCCCATTCTCCTCCCCAGGCTGGCGCCGGTCGGTAGACGGAAGAGATCGCTGACCAACCTACTGCTACCGCCGTCACCCAGCCGACTCGGACTCGCCGTGTGACGTCATCGGGTGACGTAATAGTGACGTCACACGCACAGACGGTGACGGAGAAACGAGTGCCACGGACCGTAATCAAAATGTGTCGCGAGCGCCGGGAGGTGCAGGAAGATGACCGCGGGAGGAAGAGAGGGAAAGTGAGAGAGAGAGAGAGAGAGAGAGAGAGAGAGAGGGGGGGGGGGGAGAGAGAGAGAGAGCAGATGAGAGTGCATCTGCTGTGTGATTTCCTCACGAGTGAAATGTGAGGCGTAAAGAAGATGTCGCCATCAGAGCGCACACAGAGGCATATGGCAGATGATGCGTTTTTGTCTCGGTAACCGAGAAGTTGTTGGTAGGCTGTCGCCTAACGATGCCGATCATACCGTGCAGATTGCACGATAATTAGCTTTAGTTTAGTAATAGGTACAGTTGTTTAGTTTTAACTTTATTGTGCGCAGTGTTGATTTGTGTTCAGTGCCGCCAATTGACCAGCAATTGATCGTTGGTAACATTAAGTCTCCCAGTGCCCTTGCTTCCACTGAAATGGCAAGATGAGGAAAGTAGGTAAGTCTCGTTTCTGTTGTAACGACTAGCGAGCGATACAAGCTTTACAGCTGCGTACCCTCGTTCCACATAAATACTTTACGGCTAAACATTTGACGATTGAGATGTGTTGCACTAAATTGCTAATTTATAAGTGCCTTTGTTTATTTCGGGTCTGTCATCATTTGGAGCTATACGTATTACGCACCGTCTCATCGCTGCCTTCTTCATTGCCCCGGCACCATTGTCTTACTATCGTTCTAGGCAGTCGGTCTCCCTTGTTTTGAGAGATAAAGCGAGACGCTTTCTAGGCATGGGCAATGGCAGGTTTTATGCGTTGAACGTTTTGTGTTGGTGCTTAAGTAGCTGCCGTCATCAACGGGCTTTTGGGGGGAGGGGGGATTCGTACAATTGTGCAAGCTGTCTTTATTTGAAGCTGCGTTCACCTAAAGCTGAGTTTGTGCCTGTACATTGCCCTATTGTTCTCGCATTTGTTGCAGCACTTTGCTGTCCAATACATAAACTTCGACGTAATACTCGTGTTGGTTGCAACTCAGTGCCTTTAGACGGCACTTCAGAAGCGCGTCTTTGCGATGGGAGCTCAATCATTTCCATTCTCAACCTACCACCTGGCATTCAACCTGACAGCAGTGTCATATTTACCATCTACAGCAGTATGACATCCCCATTTCACCGTTCGGTCACGTTTTCTATTGTGAGACCCTATTCGCCACACTTCATCCTGGTCACGTTCTGTGATTAGCAACGACGATTTCCAGCTGACTCTCTAAGCCAGCCCATGTGCTGCTGCTCACTTCGCAATCACAAGCCAATTAGAATTAGCGGCGGTTATTTGTTTAATCTCGGTCACGTGACGATAGGTTCAGACGAAAGCCCGTCACGTGATTGTTCAGCTCGGGTCAAAATACGGTATAGCGTTCGAAATTCACAGTGCTAGTCACGTGATGAGAAGTTCTAATCACAACGACATTGTCGTGTCTAGCCTGAAAGGTCACGTGTGCGTTCTCCAATCCCCGCCATCCTCAAACGTCGTCCTGCTAAAGCGAGTCCAAGCTCACACTCGGAAATTGGACACACCATTGCCTCATGATGGCCCCCTCCCTCCCCTCCCCTCCCCACCCCACGTCCGTCCGCCTCACGTGTGAAAGGTGCCGCGTCACGCGCCTCGCTCGGCCGTCGGCGTCACGTCCGGTCACGTGACGTGACGCCTCCCCAAGCCACAGCGTCACACACGCACACAAACGTGCTCAGACGGGCTGAGGATGCCATAAACGCTCATAGGAGTTTAGGTTCATTTCCCAGAGGCTAGAAAGGTGCAGTGCAGCGCTGTAACAACTAACCCGCAGTGCAGTGGTCAGACAAATATTACTATGCTAATGTTGAGACTACATGTGGACATACCTTCGCCAGAAGCAGAGTGGCTACTCAGCATGCTAGATGTAATCGTACTTATGTCTCTGTATCATGGAACTTGCCCCTGTCGTAAAATTGCAAGAGAGGGAGAGATATTGTTTTCGAGAATTACGCTAGCTTTAGGGAAACGGTGGGTCGCTATGTCGAAACGAGAAGACCCGACTGCGTGTCTGCACGCACTCTGGATGAATCGCACACTTGACCTGTGCATTAGCTCGTATAGAACAGTCGAGAGGCTGGGAGTATGCACCACGTCGCCGTCCATAATCAAACACTCCATTAGGGCGAATCAGGTCTCGCTGCCTCTCTCCTCGTTCCCGACATACGTAAATGAAGGTAACTGAAGTTAGACTGCTCCCTGACCCGTAACAATGAGAGGCGCAATAATTTATCCGTAAAACACCGAACAAATAAATCCTGCAATCCGAGGAATATGCACAGGGGATGCCGTGAGGCGAAAACTACAGATGATTATCGCAAGAGACCGCAAAAGAAGCGCGATATAATTACAGGAGGGACCGTGACGGAAACGTCGCCGGGAAGAATATAACCGACAATCGGACAGTCTACCTTCGCCAGACTGCGGCTCTTTTGTGGAAGGGTGTGGAAAGATGTAGACGGCTCGAGTCTTACGAGTTATTGCCATGCAATCCTTCAGGACGGGAATGCTGCGGTCGCGCCTGGCACAGGACGGGGTACGGTAGAGTGCGCTCCGTTGTATTGTGAGCGGCCCAGCCCCGTCAGACAGTCCGGCCGGACTGACGTTACTATACGATACGCTTCACGGTGGCTGGTTTGGTGATTAGAGATCGCGCAACATACGGCGATGTTCCCAGAGCTCAATATGGATTTCTTATTTCGCATACGTATCTTAAGTGCGTGTGTGTACATTTATAAATGTGCACTGGAATTTACGTCAAGAAGTGCAGTACGAGTGTGCATTTCTGCCGTTACACATTTGGTGGGCGTGAAAGACTTGACTGAGACGGTTCCAGTAGACACCGATAGACATGTCACTTCTGAGCAGTACTTCGCAATGGCAGCGTATAACGCAACATGAGCCAGCGGGACGACACTTTGAAGATGAACGATCAAGGAACAAAGATGGATTGACGGAGTCTGCAGCAAGAAGTGACAGCAAGAAAAGAAACGAAACAAAAAATGTCATCAGCACCGGTATGACACCTTTTTCTAAAAAACGTCACAAAAGCAGCGCGGTGCTGACGTTTTCACAGCTCGGTCCGAATGTGCCCTTGTTCTTTTGACAACAAACCCCGATCCCTGGCGTTCCGCCACAGCGAGGGACCCATCAAAGCGTAAGTTACGACACGGGACAGGGCGTAATTGCCTTTGCGACACTGTCCGGGCTTTGTGTGAGAATGCCTGACCCGGGGCGGGTCAACAGGGGGGAACAGGTCAAGGTCACGGTCCGAGCGAGGCAGGAAATGACGCCACTATTTGTCGGACAACTGTAGCAGCACGCTGAGAGGAAACTGTAGCACGTGTGAAGAATGGAGAGAGGGAGGAGAGAGAGAGACGGGAGAGAGAGAGAGAGAGAGAGAGAGAGAGAGAGAGAGAGAGAGAGAGAGAGAGAGAGAGAGTGAGAGAGAGAGAGAGAGAGAGAGAGAGAGAGAGAGAGAGAGAGAGAGAGAGAGAGAGAGAGAGCACACACTCCCCCGAAATGACGAGTGAGAGACGAGTGACTGGCCTTCGGAAATAACGCCTTACTCCGTGAAAGAGTATAAAAAAAAAATTGCAAATAAATCGCTTGCATATTTATTCATCAATTAGGAAAATGCCTAAGTCGTTACTAATAACGTATTATGTTTAAGTATAACGAAATACTGACTGAAAAAAAAACATGGCAATAAGCAGTCTGTAGCTTAACGATCTATGCGCAAAAATATAGAAATAAAAAACATTTATTTTTACTAACGTTGCATGCATCATCTTAAGCATAGACGAGCGTAAATAAAATAATGCATTAGTAACAAAACGCATGTCATCATATAGTAACTGGCCTCTTGTAATATCAATACTCACCATGTCAAACTCATTCACTTCACGTTGTCATGCTACCATGGAAGAACTTTCATTTTGTCCTTAATTACTAATGAACATAACACATTTTTATAATATCACACGCAAGCATCACAGTTTTTTTTTACGAAACATGACTTAGAAAATTCAACTATATCAAGTCAAACAATCCAAAAGATCGACAAGTAAATCGAGGAACATTTGAAACATTGTTCAGTGTCACTAGCCCTTGTTACTGACCAAGTCACAACAACGGAACACAATCAAGTCACAGTGATAAGGCAGCACCTGGCATTTAATTCACGTCATCACTGTTCTAATATAATTGCTACTGATTGCTAAGACAGCAACGGCATTGTCATTACTCAATATAACCCAACAATCGGTACAAAATAAAACAACCACTTTCGTCATTTAAACATTGAATGCTAGCATGTAAGCACATCACGAAGAAATAAGTAGGGAGATTTAATAAGTAGCGAAAAAAATCAAACAAACGGTCCAATAGTTCGTTCTACCTATTCACTGGAACGAACAGTGGAGGTAACCTGAAAGTTCTGCACCTTTCGGTCACTCGTCAGGTTCTCCAACTCTAACCGCTATCGCATATTACCGTCATTATCACCTTATAACATCACACAACCATTCGCGACTATAAACCCGCCCTGTGTGTCCCTTCCCCCCGGTATTTGATTGCCTGCCCTGTCATTTGGCAAGTGTGTCTTCTGTGTTTAATCAGATACCAGATAGCCTGGTACTGTGTCAAATATCAGCTAGGACTGTTAATTGTCAGTTGCAGACCGATGTGTCAAGTACAGCCAGTTGTTACTGTGTCAAACAACTGATAGTCTATGTCATTTACCAGCTAGTGCCTCGTGCAGCGCCAGCCATCCTTACGTCCTCAACTGATACTTGTCGACCACCTGGTCAATGAACTCGTCCCAGCGTTTGTTCCACTCCATCCCCAACTGCTGTTTCTCAGCGTCTGGCAGTGACGAATACCTGTAGAGGGAACATGACCCTTACTGGGACGCACCGAAGACTAAACGCTTACTGCGAAACATCGAAACGAACTTTTTACACGGAACGGCTGAGACAACGTGGAAACAGCTCAGGACGGTTCTAAAAATTAACAACGATACCGGTGGAAACAGGAGGCGGAGGGAATGAAGCTAGAGCCAGACACGTCCCAATTATCTTCCCTGATAATCTGTCCCGCCCACCACCAGCCCGGTCTCACTCATCATCTCTCTCCCCCTTTCTAACCCTTCTTCAGCGCTATTCTCACCTGATGGAGTTGACGGCCAGCTCTTTGAGCGTGCTCAGGTCGGCGGTACCTACTAGAGATGTCAATCGGATACCAACTTTTTGGTATACCGATACCAAACCGATACCAACTTGGTATTTGGTATTTCAATCGTAATGTGTTTGGTATTTTGTTGGTATCATGAACCCTCAATAATGTATAAAAGGCTAAGAAATCGGTAAAAAGTTGGTATTTCCCTCATTTTTCCAAGTTGGTTTGGTTTCGGTATTTCCCCATGGTTTTGGTTGGTATTTGGTTTGGTATCGATATTCAGATTTTCCGTAATTGACATCACTAGTACCTACTCCTTTTCTGGCGCTGCCCTCACCTGATGGAGTTTATGGCCAGCTCTTTGAGCGTGCTCAGGTCGGCGCGCCGGCCGGCCAGCGCCATCAGTGTCAGGTAGAAGTCGTAGGAGAGCCCGGCGGCACCCCAGGCGCCCGGATCGTCGGCCGATACCACCACAGGGAGGCCAGAGGCGAGGAGTACAGCCGCCGGGTGGTTACGGAGGTCGCTGACCAGGCCCAGAACCTGAGAGAGGGAGAGGAGGTTACTCTCAAACCCGGCACCCGAATGAGGGAAGGGGAGCTGAGAGGCGAGGAGAAATAAGGACCAGTTAGTGAGCAAAACTGAATGAATGGTGGGCAAAGGTAAGAGATGGTATGCAAAGAAGGGTGAGATTATTCGACTATCACATCATATATTGCATACAGATCTACAGAAAATACTTGACGGTGGCAAAAGCAACCTTTACCGACTTTAGTCCATTCTTCTTAATGACCCCCGGTCCGTACCTGGTTGGAGATGGGGCACACCTCCATGGCCACGCCTCTCCGCGCCGCCTCCCTCATCAGCAGCGGGTGCTTGACGATGCCGTACCCGTGGCCGATACGGGAGGCGTTCAGCAGGATGGCGTCGTACAGGTTCTCATCTACGTCAGTGCCCAGCCAGTCTGCGGGGGGGGGGGGGGCATAGTCAGATGGAAGGAGGTGGCGGAAGCGGAGCCCTCATCTCCAGCCAGTCTGGGTGGGGATAGAGGCAGGGTCAGAGCGTTGAGTCGTGAATATTTGAGTTACAGAAACACAGCAAAATGTTGGCGATTGTTCGTCTAGGATAATTCCCGTAACACCTAGGATAGAGGGTAGGTGTTCAAAAGCTGTGCCAGCCTGACGGAAGCCTCTTTTTTCTAGCTTCATTCTCTGTAAGCCCGTCCCTCGCCGCAAAAGTCTCAATAACTCCTTCTCCAAATACCATCCCTTTCCGATCCCCAGCCCGTGCTCACACGTCTCTCCGGCGTGGTAGAAAGTCTGCACTCCGTTCTCTGCCAGTCGCAGCAGCTGTGGTACAAACTCCTTCAGCGGAGCGCCGCAATCCTCCTCTGCCACCAGGTCAAACCCTGCCACCAGGTCGGGCTGGTCGGCGTGCAGCTGCAGCACACGGTCCACGTCCGCAGACACCTGGCGGACAAGGGAGGAAACAGAGCTTAGGTGGGGAACCGCCAGAACGTGTAGCGGTGAAAGGAGAGCGTAAGTTTCGTGCTACAAAATCGCAGACAGCTTCGGGTTCTAATTTTGGCTATTGCTCGGTTTAGAGTGAACGATGAGGAAAATGAAACAGACTGAGCAAAATGACAGAAAATGTGGATAAACCTAGACAGAATCTGAGCAAGAACTCGACAAAACCAATCATAAGCCTCAACATGTGGCAACTTGACAATGTCCGCAAAGCTGTATGCTTCACATGTTCGATGTATCCCTGTCCAGTGTCCCAGCCCAGAGCTTACCAATCACTGTACCGACCTGTTCGGGTGAGACGTGTCTGCTCATGGCCAGGATGACCCGTCCTCCCCAGAACCGGTTACCCTGGTCGCTGCTGGCCGCCTCCAGAAGCGCCGCCCGGTAAATGTCGATGGTGTGGGAGGCCGGGTACAGGTTACCCGACAGGTCACTCAACTAAAACAGGGCAGAGGTAGGGTTCAGAGGGTTGAAAAATAAGTAACGGAGAGGGTAGAGGACAAGTCTCTCCAGCTATGATACTCTAGTCTCATCGGAAATACATCGATGTTTCAGCGATACTTTACGAACTGAACAGACACCAATATCGGCGAACGCAAACTACCCAGCGTGATTCATATGATTCAGCATGTGTGATTCATCATTTTCGTCAATCTATACTCAAATATACAAGTTACGGTTATCCCACACCTGTATATCGGTATTCGATACCCACTTGAGGCAGCGACGAACGTATTTCCGCGTACTGGATGTTATCGTCGGCCATTTCCTGCAGTGCCAGACTGATCACCCGTCTCCAGGCCGGCTCGTAGTGTATCATACCCCGCACCCGGCTGATGACGCCGTCAAAGGCCGCCCACGAGCTGTGCAGGTCCTCGTATACGTCTGAACGGGTAGCGGTGGGGACAGTGGGAGTTAGAGATAATGGATGTAAGCGGGACAACGATGGCGGGAGTGGACAGACTAGGAAATAAGCGATGTAGATGGCACACGGCTATAAGAGCAGAACATGCTAGTGGTGGTGCCATAGCTTATCGATCTCATCAACGGCCACTGAGAAAGCCTGACGTAGGTAAGATGTGTAGAAAATGCATTCTCTCACGTAAGTATAACTCAACACACATCTTATCACACCTAATAAGCCCGAATGACATATCTGAACCCCACCCCTCATGAACACGACTCTCCCCATCGCCGTACCATCGGGCCGCTCCACAATCATGGACAGCTGTCTAATCAGCCACTTGTCCACCGGGCCGGCTCCGAGGGATGCTCTGACGTCACTCAGCAGCAGCCAATCACAGGACATGTCCGGGGCGGCGAAAAACTGCAACCGTACGTCCGGCTCACCTGACGACTGTAAAGAGGGGCTGGGGTCAGATACAAGCTGTCAGATCTTGCATCTCTGTTCTGGCAGCCTGTCATCTGATTTGACGGATTTGACAGGACCGCGTGTAGGTGTTGTTTGCCCTTATTACTGACCTGAGTGGAGTTGCAGAGGTAAAGGTGGTCCATATAGGTGACGTTGGATACCAGCTTCTCTACAGACAACATCGAGATGTCGTGAATGTGCAACATGCTGCCTGGAAACGGAAGAAATGGTTAATGTGTATACTGTATAATCACATTGCTAGCTCAAATTCGGAAAACGCAGGTACGCGGAAAGCATAAACAGATCACATTAATGGCGTTAATTCGTAAAACGTACGCGAAAAACATAAGCAGGACACTGTAACAGCTAAAATTCGGAAAACCATCGCAGTAAAGGTATACAGTGTGCATGAAAAACATCAAAATGGGTTCAAGAAGTGAATGTTATATCTACAGAAAATTTATAGTTAGGCGACATTTTAGTTCAAGCTCTAGCAAGAAATCCTTATTGACACGACTTTCGACCTCAGTAATCGAACGAGTCAGATTCAAACACAGCCTGCCCTATTGCTCACCTTTAGGCATCATGCGGATGAGCTCAAAGACATTTGACTTTTCTATATCCTCTCGTGCATTCATAAAGTGTCTGCCGGCCTCAAATGGAGTCTCCTTGTACTCCTCCCTTTTGAACACAGTCAGAAGGTCATTGACCTGCTGTTCAGCACCATGGAGCACCACTGTGCCACCTGTCTCCAGGAGCTGGTCGGCAGTCAAGAGTTTGCTGCGAGATGACCAGTAGTCGGAGAGGTTGTCCCGAGCCTGGGTGTGGCTGTTGGCTAGTGTGGACCAGAGTTGGGTGGTCTGAGGGCTGCCACATGATTGGTAGAAGTGATAGCTGATCAAAGCCAGTAGAAGCAGGAAGCAGCTCCACAGGCAGCCAAGAGAGAGCCACCAACGCATTGTCACAGTTCGGTGGTAAGTAGAGGCCTCAGGTGACCTGCAGTGGAGAAATTGTTACACTACAGTACACTAGATTATTACTTTTTTGCTAATACATGGGCACATGAGGAAATGAAATAAAATTTGTGAGCACATTACAGTATACAACAAAATTAAAATCTAACCTAAGTGTCTTCGAACCTTAGAGGTTACAGTGAATGCAGGAGCCATGGAGAATGAGATGGAAATATAAATGGAGATGTCAGAATGTTGCGCTATATATTTGTGAAACCTTCTATATTAATATAAATGTATTTATGGAAAGTGCAAACTGAAACAATGTCAATGTCTGAAAGTTATCTATCAGGAAAACATTGAATTTTTGGGCTCAAATGCAAATGTGATAGTGATAAATGAGCTCCATGACTTAAATATGGCTTGAAAGTCGTGACATGAATGCTAATTATTTTAATTAAAAAAACTATCGTCAAATATTTACAGGAAAAACCATCTACGCTTCAGCTTTGTTGATGATTGATGTTCAACATTGATATCAAACAAAACAAATGTGTATACTGTTCAATCACAGAACACGCGTCTGCTCATAGTTCAAGGCCAATGACGTTGACGCTGGGTAACTATTGTCAAAAAAGTTTCAAAAAACGCTTAGCGAAGAAAGAAATAGTGAAAATAGTTAAAAAATGGAAAACGATTCGAGGAATCGGTGTATATACTGTCTTTTGTATTCTTTTTCTTTTTCATATTTCATTGACGGTAACGGTAAGTCTCGCAAGCATTTATTTCTTTTCGAACAGTAGCCAGGTATTTCATTTATTGCGCAGCTAAGGCATAAAATGGTAGGTTGTAGTTGCTAATTGAAAACAACGTTTTAGTTACGTTTAAAAACAAAAGAAAATTTGAGAATTTTGATGAAATAGAAACAAATTTGATAAAAGCGTTACAGTTCCATTACAAGCATATATATTGTCGTTAAAAAATGCCGACAAATGGCTAGCCCCGCGTTCGTCCTCTCCCGGAAGGCGCAGATCCTACGCCGTCCGGCCAATCCCGTTTGCGGTCGGCGGGGACAGAGTCACGGTTATCGAACGCTATTGTCCGGACGACGTAGAATCTTCGTCATCCGGGAGACTGCGATCGCGGAATAAAACAATTAACGATGATATAAGCAGTAACGGCTCGTCTCCCCCACATCCCCATGTGCCCAGCCGCCCCTGCCGCCGCGCCGCCCCCTCTCGCTGTATCTGGCGTCCCATCAGGCCTGGCGGCGGGGCCGGACGGAGCTGGACGGAGACGGCGCCTGCCGCCGGCTGGGCCACCAGGTACGGTAGTCATGCTGCTCTCGTGCTCTCGTGTGGCCGGCAGGCTGGGTCGCTCCCAGCCGCCGCCAAATGCTCGCTCTGTGTCCATTGGAGTGCTCGGCGCCGCCTTCGATAAGGGTCAGGTCAGTGTGGCGCGCTAGATCGGGTTTGAACAGGATTATACCGGACAAACCAGTGCGGGGCGCTCGGGTCAGTTCGTAGCGGGATAACATACAGATTAAAACGAGGTGTTGGGTCGGTCAGGGTCACACATCCGTCCTCACCATGCTCAGGACAAACCCATCCGGCGTATCCCCCTCACGCTCCCTTTCTGGGCTGGCGGTCAACCCCACCCAAACAACCGGTGGTTGAGGTTGGGTCCGCACCAGGACCCGTTAAAATCCTTTACGACCGTTTAGGAGGCGCCAGTGCACTGTCCCATCGGGGCAATCCGGTCCCACCAGGACGGTCTCGCCGCTGCGGCTCAATCTCGATGGCCTGCACAGCCCAATGGCTACGCCCTATCCTCTCATCCAATAGCTCTGCAATGCCGTTCAGGCCGAAAGAGCTTGCTGATTGCTCCCAGCAAAACAAACAAAACTGTGAGCAGAAATAAAACTTTCGGAACGGAACCAGATAACCGATGACTGATCGATCGATCGATCAGGCCGTTGTCCGTTCATAAAGCCACCGAATACAATACTCACTTGACCGAGCTCATTGCCGGCGTACCGTTCCACTCGCCAACATTTTCAGACCTTCCATCTGAATGATGTGAATCAACCGCCGACATCCAGTCCGGCCTCAAAGCCTTCTCATGCACTCTTGTCATTCCTGCTTTCGCAACAAACTTCCAGAATTCTGACCACACGCCCCCTTCTCACCGTCTCTGCCGGCCCCGGCTCGCCGTCCCCTCTCGGTCAAGATCACGTGCCTCGCTGAATGGACGTCGTCGGTCGTCCGCACCGTCTCGGGGCCGGCAGAGCCGTGCAGAGCTCGTAGCTCCCCGGCCCGTCCCGTTTACTGGAGCTCTGAAGGGACACTGGCACTCAGTTACGTAGGACGGGAAGGTTGCGACCAAGATTCTTACAGATAGTTGCGAGTTGCGACACACACAACTCCGAATAAAAACGCCTGAATTGGAGCGCTAAACTGGTGAGAACCGGACACGAGATGTGTGGCTGGCGCTGGTATAAACTGGAATAGCTGATGTGATTATTTGGTCATAGCCACGTCACTTGCTTGGACAGTTCCGTTTAATCCGTTATTCCATTGAAGGTGAAATTTATACGTCTAAAGTTGAGTTATCCTGACGAATAGTCGGAAAGCAGGTAAATAAAGCCGTCGTTGGTATAGTCTTAAACGTTACAAATCAAAATAGTCAACAAATGAAATAATCGGAACTAAGTGAACCCGAATGAACGGTTGCAACGAGTGAATGTTTGATGCGTAAACTCGTGTAAAAGCTAACGTTTAGGCACCTAAATTCGGCTGCAGCTCTCGTCCGACACCTCTGTACGGCGACAGAGGCCACACGTCCCCTGAGACCGCCTATCGTTAGTATTCAGCGCACCCTGCATGGGCCGGCGAGCCTCCCAAACCGGTCCCGGTCCACACCCCCTCCCCTTCCCGGCTGGGGGCTTGGCCGTGACGTCAGAGCACCAGCACCTCTGTGACTGTCTGTTTGTGCCAGGTGACAGTGCGGGTTACGGTAACAACACAGAGTTACAACCGGGCCACAACTTGCGACCCACAGGGTCAAGACGAGACGGGTCGACTGATATTCCGCGTAACGTAAACAAATGTGTTTATTGCATTAAGCCCGTTTATGAGGTATACAATTTATTAATTGCTCATCTTACGGACCATATAAGACGGTTTGCAATTAGAATGCCGTTCAAGGAGACGATTCACCCCTGCATTGACAGCAGCGTCAGCGTGCGGCCCGTAAGACGGTCATACGTCGGAGCAAGTCCCGCACCGCATACCAATACCCGCACCGCGTCGGCGCTCGGACGGCCTTGTATCGACTCGGCGCGCGTATGTCCTTCACCTTGGCAGTACCCAGAGCGCTCTCCTCCAATAGCTGAACATAACACGGTGTGCTGACGGCGGCGGCGGCGGCGGCGGTACTCCACGGCTGATGGCGGCCCTCACACACTCACACAGCCATTCACTGAGGAGTTATCAGAGCTGGTTTACCGGAGCTCTGACCGGCAAGGGCGACTTTGAACGGCGGGTCACGGTAAACGGTTGGGTGAACGGTAAACGTCCGAGTGAAGACGGCGGACGGTAGCGGGCGATCTATTTATTGATCGTGTTTCATGACGCCTTTGGCAACACGTCGGTTATGCATAAACGCACACGTAGCATTGCATCGTACCGTCTAATATCCTTACCCAAACTTCCACATAAATCCCGTGAAATGGCATATGATAACTAATGCCAACTAACCACTATAAACACTACAGCACCGTCCACCGTCTATCCCCTACCACAGACACCTCTGACCGCTCTCCTTACCCCCGACAGACCCGCAGCGGCGCCAGTCTGGGCCCGGGCGCGGTACGTCAGACGGGCGTGCTGCAGGACCTCACCGCGCTGGGTCACACCGTGAGGGACCTCGGTGATCTCCGACTGCAGGAGGCGGTGCCCGCCGAGTACAGGGCAGAGGATGGACGCGCCAGGATGAAAAACGCCACCAGCGTGGGACGGTTCAACCAGCAGGTCGGTCCGTGGTGGGTGGTCGTGATGGGCGGCTAACGGTTGACGTTTGGAAGTGGGAGTGGGATCGAAAAGGCCCAGTCTTACGTCCAGGGGTGGATTTTTATATAAAGTTGGGGTTGCACGTGCAACCCCAACTTTGAATTGTGCAACCCCAACATCGGTTTGTGCAACCCCAACTTTACAACTGAAATAAATCGGCGGGCGACTCGAATGGTGCCGCCCCCATAACCCTGAGCCATCCCAAAACTATATGCCACCCGTTGACTTGGCACCATCTTTCAAAAGAGCCCTACCCATCATGTAGGCAATAGTCACCCCTCAACTATCTAGTGTAGTTGCCGCCTCCTCAGACCTCAAATGTAGGTGCCGCTCCCTCGAATGTAGGTGCCGCCCCTCGAATGTAGGTGCCGCCCCCTCAAATGTAAGTGCCGCCCCCTCGAATGTAGGTGCCGCCCCCTCGAATGTAGGTGCCACCCCCTCGAATGATGGTGCCGCCCCTCAAATGTACCTAAATGCCGCCCCCCGAATGTAGGTGCCGCCCCCTCGAATGTAAGTGCCGCCCCCTCAAATGTAAGTGCCGCCCCCTCCCTCGAATGTAGATGCCGGCCCCCCTCGAATGTAGATGCCGGCCCTCCTCGAATGTAAGTGCCGCCCCCGCGAATGTAGGTGCCGCCCCCTCAAATGTAAATGTCGCCCCTCGAATGTAGGCGCTGTCTCCTCGAATGTAGGTGCCGCCCCCTCAAATGTTAGTGCCGCCCCCTCGAATGTAGGTGCCGGCCCTCCTCGAATGCACGTGCCGCCCCCTCAAATGTTAGTGCCGCCCCTCGAATGTAGATGCCGGCCCTCCTCGAATGTTGGTGCCGCCCCCTCAAATGTACCTAAATGCCGCCCCTCGAATGTAGGTGCCGCCCCCTCAAATGTAAGTGCCGCCCCCTCGAATGTAGATGCCGGCCCTCCTCGAATGTAGGTGCCGCCCCCTCAAATGTTAGGCCGCCCCCTCGAATGTAGATGCCAGCCCTTCTCGAATGTACCTAGGTGCCGCCCCCTCAAATGTTAGTGCCGCCCCCTCGAATGAAGGTGCCGCGCCGCCCCCTCAAATGTTGGCCCCGGCCACTTATGCATAGGTGTCATCGGTCATCCCATAAAATGTAGGTGCCGTCCCTTCGAATGTAGATGGCACCCCCTAGGGTGTAGTTGCCGCCCCCTAAGGCCTAGTTGCAGTGCAGCCCCCTCAAATGTAGGTGCCACCCCCTAAGTGTAGGTGCCACCCCTTGAAATGAAGGTGCCTTTCCCTCAGATGCCGCCCCCCCCCCCCCACATGCGTGGGTGCCGCCCCTCAAGTTAGGGTGCTGCCCATAAAATGTAGGTGCCGCCCCCTCTAAGTGTAGGCGCTGCCGCCTCAAGTGCAAATGCCATCGCCGCCCCCTCTAATGTAGGTACTACCCTCCTCTCAAGATCTTGAGCTGTCACAAGGCCGTATAAAGCTGTCGGACATGCAAAAATGACCAGTTAAAAAAA